AATGAATCTATCAGAGACAAGTGGAATGTCTACCCCTCGTAAGGCCAGAGGTCATGACACCAAGAATTGAGAGCAATCTCTCAACACTGAATGCCTCTTTATTTATTTATTTATTTACCATTAGAAGAAAAGTCAGACTGGTTGGCAAGGGCTCTAAATAAAGAATTTCAGCTTCTGTTTGGAGAGGGAGTGATGAGAATAATGTGAACTGTGGAAAGGGAAAGGGAGCTATTTCCAAATACAGGGAAAAGTCATGGTGCCACAGCACTCATGTTCAACACTTGCCCCTTGCACATCACTGTCACAAGGACTGGGGAGGAAAGCTGGAAATCCACCCAGAGTCCACATATTTAATTCTGGGGACATACAAATGTTATCTAGTGCCAAAGTAAGGCTCCACCAAACTCCAACTAAACGGAGTTTGCCATCCCATCATGAAGACTTGAAGAAAAATACACAGGCTTACCAGTGAGTATGCTACATACCATGCTTTGTTTTTTCCTCTCCCTTGAGCTGTGTCCTTTTGCTAGATCTTTTGAGATCATCATAGAAGAGATTTCAGGTTCAATTTCAGTCATCTGGCAGATCCTCAAGAGTTTAAATTAAACTAAATTGAGTTTATAAGACCTCATCAATTTGATAGAATTTTCTTTGCCAAATAGGAAGTGAGTTTTGTGAAAACTAATAGCAAGATTTTAGCATATCTCATAGAGTGCTAGACCAGGTCCAATGCCTACTAACTCTACTATTAATCCATTGCCATGTTGTACACAGTATGGCATCCACGTGAAGTTCCTACCCTCAGGGAGTTTGCTTATTTTCTAGCCACTTGTTTAATCATCTATAATGTGTCAAACAACTTGCTATATGCTGAGTTTGTTACAATAAATAGGCAGACTTGACTTGTGCTTCTCAGTGGGGGCAACAACAGAAAAGCAACTGAAAGACAACCTTTATCTATTGCAGAGAGATCATGAGTTTCATATAGACACACAGAAGATAAGCATTCTACAGGGTGGAAAAGGCATGTAGTTAGTTGATTGACAAATGGTATTTGAATATCAACTTAGAACCAGGCACTGAGCTTTTAAAGTTCACATCTGAAGGGAAGAAATATCCAGATGAAAAAGATGTGCGATAGAGAATAAAATGTTGAAGGAAGAAGAAATAACGTGTAAGAATACCTGAATGTAAGTTCAAAAACAAATGAGTTAGGAGTTTTAACAGTGAAGCTAGGAAGGAGAAAAGAGGTGAATTGCAGAGAGATTTCAGGGCATACCATAGAGCTTAGACTCCAATCTGATAGTAATAAAAACCTTACAATAGTTCTAAGCCAGGAATAACCTAAAGGTATTTGAGTAAGAAAGTGATTGAAACTTACTTAGTATCAGGGTTGGGCAGAGAGAAGTGTAACTGTGGAATTCACTTCTGTTTAGAAGTTTTTGCAAAAGTCTAAGTAACATACAGTGACAGTCATTATCAAGGACAAAATCTCTGCTAAAGTATTTGTGGAGAGATACTGAAGGCACAAAAATCTGAGGTCTTGGTGGAATATGGAATGATCACCAGTTAAGTGGAGCATGAAAATGATAGAGAGGAACCATTCTTGGTTAATTGAGATGAAGGAGGCCAAGTTGACCAAGATAATACTTCCTGAGACAAAATACTCAGGGGTGTGAGTGGGAAAGGAAAGCTCAGAAGTTTGATTTGGAACTTTTCAAACTTATATCCACAAGACATTTTGATAAATATATCTGAGGCCAGAGGGAGAGACCTGTGATCAGGATACAGATACAGGGCTTCTCAACACATTCATCACATATTCTTACCTGTTGATAATAGGAGGAGAGGCTTCTGCGTGTCACCCCCCATATGACATAGGGAATCCAAATCTCCTAAAATGATTTCATATTTTCAAGGTAATTATTATATTTGAGGATTGATAAGGACAATAATGTAAATTGATCATAAGAAGCCTGTAACTCAAGAAAATTCAGGACCACAGAAGAAAATGAAGGAGAAATCTAGACACGGATATCCAAGGCTGATAATGTTAAGTTGGAACCCAAAGTAGCAGCCTGTACAGAGCCAGGAGAGTCCTGAAAAGTGAGCCTAGCATAGAGACAGGCAGCGAGTAAAACAAGTAGTTCACAGTCAATACATTTGAAGAAGTCAAGGCAAGTGAGAATAGCCATTGGATTTTTGTAAGGGAGACCTGGGTGAGTCTAACAAGAGAACCTAACTCCTTGGAAGGAGTGAGCAAGAAGTGAGCTAATAAAGATACAAGTAAATGAAAGTAAAAAAGAGTGAAGGAGTGTCCTGGCTAGGTATTTTGTTTTTGTCAACTTGAAACAGACTAGAATTAGTGGGAAAGAGGGAATCTCAACTGAGAAAATGCTTACATGAAACTGACTGGTGGGCAAGTCTGTGGGCATTTTCTTGAGTAATGATTGATATGGGAGGATCTAGCTCATGGTCAGAAATGCCACTCCTGAGCATGTGGTCCTGGAGTATATAAAAAAGCAAGCTGAAGAAGTTAGGAGGAGCAAAACCAGTAGACAGAGACCCTCCGTGGCTTCTGCTTCAATCCTTGAATCCATGTTTCTTCCCTGTTTAAATTCCTGCTTTGGGTTCCCTGGATAATAGACTATAAGCTGTAAAATGAATTAAGCCATTGCTTCCCCAAGTTGTGTTCAGTTATGGTGTTATATTGCAGTACCAGAAACTCAGAATTAAGACAAGGAAGTAGTTGGAAAAGGCCAGATACAAGATAGCCTCTGCTCTATCCAGAGGAAAAGAAGGATCATATATTCAGTTAATTTAAAAAAAATACAAAACCTTAAGCAATAATTACCAAACCAATGCATGGAAGTAACTCAATTAACCAGAAAAGTAATACTAGAGATGTATATGAGTTTTGGTTAAGGGTTATATACTGCGTTGAACCCTCAATAACAAGCAAGCTTTTAGACAGCTGAGAATTAAGTCTTTTACTGCCAGAAATCTAAGAAAAAATAGTAGTAACAATTCGTCTATTCTCCTTTAACCTCCTTTGTTATTCAAAGAATATCTTTCTCAGCTAATATAATGTCTTTAGAATGGAAATTGCCCAGACCTCAAAGAATAGCTGTGAGTATGCACATATTGAAAGTTGCAAGATATATAATCCAGTTCACACGGAGTATTTGCCTTCTCAGTCTTCAAACACGAAATAAGCATATTCTTTGGGGGTCACATTGTTCATTTCCTCATTTGAAATTTTTAACACCAGATAGGATGTTAAATCAGTAGGAGCTGGTGCTTCTCCCACTTGGGTTTCAAACATCCTCCATATGTATAAACACATCCATAAATAAAGGCGCTAATGTCAGGAAAGAAGATCTTTTAATAAAATACACCAGCACACGTAAATGCCTGCATATCGAAGATTGTTCTAGGACTTACTTCACAATTAAACAATGTTTAAATGAATTACTTTTCTCCTTCTTTTTAAGAAGGTGGTGAAATCACAAATCTCTAGAGATGCTATTTATATATTTGTTTTATTTCTATTGTTTTAATGTGACGATGCCATCTTATCATAAATACTAAGTACACAGGGAGAAAAGACTAGCTAGAAGCATTGTTCATTATAGGAGAGTCAGTAGGAAGCTGAGGCCTGGGTTTCTCAGAGATACTTGACTGAATGGCCATTGCTTCAGGAACTCCACCTTCTTAGCAGAGAGCCAAGGATCTCTAGGTCACAGTCATACCCATTCATTTTCTTCCTTGTCATAAATATGACCCCATTTGCATCAAAAGAGAATAGCCATTACCACGCAGATATTGTAAAAATAACAATAGTTAAACAGTTACATTTCCAAGCTCTGAATAGTATTCTGTTATTTGTCATTATGAAACTTGGGTTTGGTTATTCTTACCTAGTTCACAGAAGATTCTCATTTTAACACACCTACACACAGGTGACATTTCAGATTCTGAAGCCTGACGTGTGTTGGTATTTTATCCCTGGTCCTTTCTGTGTGGGCATGTATCTCTATTCATGGTCATTCTGCTCTGTGTGGGTACAATCATATTCATGGTCATTCTGTCTCTAGGTTTTACCTTTCCAGAGGATATGACCTGAAAGGGATGTGAGACACTTTATTACCTACTACCTTGACAAATAGCAAGTTAGTCTACTTGAGTTCATTCAAAGACTTTGAATATAGGAATAGGTTAGGGAAATCATGTGTTCTGCTGTTGCCTCTAATAAGTCACAGCTCTAATGTCACAGTTAGTGACCTCAAATCACTGTCACATACATACACGCTTGTTTGTATTGCATTTTCTAGGGTTCTAAGTACCTCTTGCTAGAGTCAGTTGGCCTGTTTCTGAGAGAGCTTGTGATTGACATATATTGAGAATGGAAAGTATAAAAATTGCTGTTGGGGTGGAGGGGTGGTATACTTGATGCAAAAATTTCCTTTGGTTATTTAGTCCCTAATGAAAAAGTCTGATCGTAAGCTACTGAGTCCTTAGTAAAATACTGAGTTGCAAATTGTTTTAATCATTGTCATGTTTTTTCAATAACTGAGAATTGTCACAATGATATGGAAAAGACAACATCTTTCTTTAAAGCCAGAGAAACTGACAAAGTTGCCAGACTGTTGATATCACAGATAAGACATCTACTGGAGACAATGTTTTGGATGGCTTTGGAAGAAAGTTTTTAGGAACACAGCTCTCCAAGGAGAGATTTAGGCCCCCATAGAACAGACTAGTATTAGACTTCCTCAGAATGTAGAGTGAAAATGACTACTTCTCAACAACCCCTTCTCCAAAAGTCCTTTGTTGAAGACATCCTTAGGGTCAAGTCCTAAGTTCTCCATGTGTTTCACCATTTGTCTGTGTAGAGCACAAAAATGCTGCATGGCTTGGGAGCTGCACATGACCCCTAGTAGCTAGCATGCTAAGACCAACTTGACTGACAGAGAACTCTTTGTCTCCCCTCTGCCTAGGTGCAAATGCAACCTGCATGCCACTGTGTGTGTCTATGACAACAGCAAACTGACATGTGAATGTGAGCACAACACAACAGGTCCAGACTGTGGGAAATGCAAGAAGAATTATCAGGGCCGACCTTGGAGTCCAGGCTCTTACCTCCCTATCCCCAAAGGCACGGCAAACACCTGTGAGTAACTTTGCTCCATTTCAACATGTTCTGTGCATGATGAATTGTTTCTTTCTTGGTGCCACTTACAATTGTGACTTTCCTTCTTTTCTCTTTAAAATGCAGTGGAAGATTTATTCCTGATTTTATCATTTGTAAGCATGTGTTAGCACTATAATCACCTGTTAGAGTCAGTCCTCTAACCTTCCCATTAAATGTGTTGCAAAATAGTTCTTAAAAAAATCACAGAGGTAATTTTGTTCTAAGTAGGTGAAACAGGGGGTGTTTTTCCCTCTCCCAAATTAATAGCCTATGCATACAGCACAGGCCATGAAAATTCTCAATTCTGATGGGCCATAAATAAGTTTCAGAGACCTTTGGGTATTGACAGTTGCATTTCTGTTTCTCACAGTGAGTAAGCCAAAAGATTCTTTGTCCAGTGAAGGTTGGCCAATCCAATGCTAGGCAGTCCAAAATGTTGCCTAACAATATAGGTGGCTTTTCCCAAATGCCAGCCTTTGAGACATGACTGCTTTGGATTCTTAGAGCAGACGATTCCTTTGGATAAAAATCAGGACTGTAAACCTCGGTGCCACATGAAAAAAGAGGCCTTTGTCTGTGAAAGAGCATAGGCAATAACTGTGCTCACAGGGGCCACATGATATGCACCATTAAGATTCATGTCATAACCCAGTGACATCCCTAAATATGTAAAGACCAAACTTGACATGCTTAAGGAGAAAAGGTACTATTTCCTGAATAAACTGCAGCATTCTGTGGATGGAAAGATTAGCCATCTGGAAAAGCCTAAGGTTTGCCCTCTTTAAAAAGCATAGAAAGGGGGAAGATTAGCATAGAGCCACACAGCAAGAAGTCAGAAGAGCCACAGGACCATGAGAAGTCGAACAGCAAGCCACTGGCTCCTTGCAAGGCAAAGAATGTTATCTGGGACTTCAAAGCAGCATCTGGGAGAATCCAGAGCAATATCACAAGAACCCAAGCTTTATCAAGTTTCATTCCGGAGTAACGGACCAGCTAACAAGCTATGAAGTGTGGGGAACATAAAATTAGGACAAATCTCTATGAAGCAACAAAAAGAGCCCTCCCAGAGGTTAAAAAAGAATCCCTTTGTAAAAATGTTCAGTTTCTTTCTGTGTTAAAGGAGAAGCTGACTTCTCGCTACTAAAATTAATGTATTAAAGCTCTGTTAAGCAGATATGTTGAGGTTTTTTTTCTAGGTGATTTTATTAATGGGAACTGAGCTTTCTGTGGTCATGGAAAGCCATGGACTTATGACTTTGGAAGGGATCTCCTGGGATTATCTGTTGCAATCTCATATGTCTGGCTATCTGAGAACTCCTATCATCACAGTTGTCAAACTTAGTTAAGGCTTTCCCTAAGTGAAAATGGCTCAGATTTCACCTTCAGGTCCTGATGTTAAAGACATTGCTAACACCACCCTGTTCTACCTGTTCCACTCACAGTGCCTCAAATAATTGGTGTTTAGTATTTTCTCTAGGAAGACATTGATTCTGAGAATCTCCCTCCCTGAAATGAGTTTCTCATTATATTCTCCAGGGCATGATTTTTTTCATCCCTCAACTATTTGCATATTAAAGTTAGTCTTGGCCAAGAGACCATAACCTCCTTTGATTTTCCCTATTTGTTCAACTATTCCCTCTCCTGTTTTCAGCTGGCCTTCTATGGACTTCTGGGATTCTTTCACATCTGTGTTCAAGCAGGAAAATAGCATATGGGCCCCATGACTAACAGTGGCTAAGGGGTCAATTCAATTTTCCAGTCATAAATAGAGAAAACCTTGGTGAGAGACTTTACAAATTATATGGAAAAATCTTGAAATCAACACATTTCAGGCTTTAATTAAAACACCCAACAATGGCAATAAACAGTTTCACAATTTGGCAGCATGTTACAAGACCAAACCCACATACCTCTATTTGCTATTAATCTGTCCTCCCTAACACCCTGTTTCCCATTCTTCGTGTGAGAATAATGGTTCTTCCTTCACAGCAATTTTAAGAAAATTAAGAAGTGTACAAAACAATTTTATTTAAGATTCTTTTATGTAAGACAGTCTTGTCCTCTCTTGGATAGCTTCGTTAATGTAATTTATTTCTTAACTTCAACGTTGTATCTTGACCCTTTATATCTTTCCACATGGTATAAAAACCCTATTTGTCCTTTGTAGAGTGTAGTCTTCCTTGCCAGCTGCCTAGGCCCTGTCACAGTTGTACTCCCCAAATAACACACAAGACACTGTATTAATTATGAAGCTGCTGGCTATTTGCTTGGTTTCTTACTGACTATCTCTCACGTAAGTATTTAACCCATAATTGATAATCTAAGTATTTCTCTTACCAGAGAAAGGGGTCCGGACCTCTTACTCCTCTGGAGGCTACATGGTGTCCCTCTGTGTCTCTCTCTTGCCCAGAATCCTCCTCGACCCCTAACCCACCTATCTTGCTTCCTTATTGGCCAACAGTGCTTTATTCAACAACCAACATGAGACAGATTTACACAATGACATCTCCCATCAGTCCTAGTTATTCCAGGTTGACAATCTTCTGACACATATCTCATCCTAATATGAAAAATTTGCATGCCACTCTAATTCATTACTATGGCCCTTCTACCCAAGTTACCAAGCTATTCTCTTTTATAAAACTTATAGACAAGGCATCTTTCTTGTGTCTCTAGGGACCACTATTTTCTTTTATATAAAATGTTATTTTAAAAAAGGTTCTTTGAATTTCATTTTGTTTCCAGAACCTCCTGCTCTAAATGCTTTTCCTTCCATATTGTTTGTTCTCACATGCACGAATATGTTAACACATGAAAGTACACTTATATATACACCCTCACATGACTTTATTCTGTTCATTGTGAGTAAACTAAGAGACACTCTTAGGATATCACATATCCATAACAAACTTCAAGTTATTAGAATGAAAAGAAGAGATTGAAACCTTCAACATCTACCTTAGTGACCTGGAGATGCTACCAGTTACAAGTGATCACTACACTTAGATTCACAAGTAGGCAGGAGAACATCAGACTCTGTATACCTGCACAGGTTTGAGCTAGAAAGCGGGGAGATTTTCAATATAAGATCCCCTTCAAGGACACTTACTTTACCATTTAGGAACAACTCAAACTGGGATCTTGCTTCAAGTTCCTGAGCTTTGAAGTTATTGCACTTTAGAGCAACTCAAAGTCTCTTTCTCATGACACATATAGCCTCAAGGAAGAATTGTATGGAATACCAATACTCAAAAATAAAATCACCCGAGTCTGCTGGATATATCACACTATTCTACTCTTTTACTATGATAAAGTTGGCCAGTGTCAAATAAGAACTTCTCTAATGACATATGCATGTTCATAAATATCTTTGTCTTTACTCTTAAAAAACTTATGTTTTTATAGAAAAGTTATTTTTGTCTCCCTAATGACCTTTATTATATTTTCTAATAAAATGCATTCTTAAATTCCTTTGAATTCTACTTTCCAAGTAGAGAGAAGTTCTGTCCAACATTATGCCTAATCATGATAATCTTGATTCCTATTGTCCAGATCACAAATAAAGGTATTCAGTAGCAATCCCCAAACTCTTATTCCTATGGCATATGCAAGTGTGTTATATGCAACAAAAGCATGATGTTTTTCTACGTGCAACTTAATGATCTCCCCGTAAAAGCCATATCTCCAACAAAATGTAATGTCTCAATATCTGTTTCTCAAGCTGTGTTCATTTTTCTACCCTTAGAAAAACTCTATGACAGTCCTGGAAGACAGCTCAGTGGGCAAAGAAATTTATATGAAAGTATGAGGACCTGAATTCAGATGTACAGCTAAATATGGTAGTGCATATCTGAAATCTCAGCATTCTTACATGGAGATGAGAGGTGAGGAAGGCGGCAGAATGGGAGTTCTCAAACTGTGGTTTTTCAACCCCTTTTAGAATCAAAGGGCCAGTTCACAATGGTCACCTAAGATCATTGGATAAGGCATTACTATTCATAACATTAACAAAATTACTGTTACGAAAAGCAATGATTGGGAGTCACCACAATATGAAGAACTGTAGTAAAGGGCCAGAGCATTAAGAAGGTTGAGAACAAGTGCTGTAGAAACTCATGAGCCAGCTATCCAAGGTTGTGAAGCAGTAAACTACAAGAAATCCACTCTCAAGGTGGAAGGCAACTACTGGCACCTAAGGCTATCTTCTGACCTCTACACATGCAACATGCAAATATATTCCAGATATCTACATGAGAACACCTGCCTACATACACTATACACCAAAACACACACAATCTTTTTAAATTCTATGGCAAAAAATTTAGAAAATTCTAGTATACTTACTTTTACATATACACATCACATTATTAGAAATAGCTAAGAAGTTCTGCTTTAATGTAACCTGTTTGACAGTATTTCCCAAACTTATTTCATTGAACCCTCAGTAGCTACAAAACACTCTTGTAGGGCATGCTAATCTAAACAATTTCTTGCAGTGTGCCCTTAATAACACCATGGAATCAGACAAAAGATCAGTCAATTCAGTTGTGTTCTGTATTTTTACCTTTTCCTAAAAGATCTTCAAGTAAGGAAAATTAAATTGATCTGACACTGACATTATTTGTCTGTTTGGAATCCAACTTGAATTGTTGTACTATATCTCCTACTCCTCTGAGTAATGGAAAGTAATTTGATGACTATTCTATTATTTTCCCTGATATTAAATTTACATTGACCAGTTTCTATAGTCCCAGATGTACACATTGATGCATCATTATCCAGTCAATTTCCTAAGCACTTTAACTGCATTAGTCCCTTCTAGACTCACACTGATCTTATACGGTGGAGGCTATGATTTTTTATTGTTTTCAAGTATGAAAGCATATGATTGTGATTCTTTTTTTTTTTTTTTTTTTTTTGGTTTTTCGAGACAGGGTTTCTCTGTGGCTTTTGGAGGCTGTCCTGGAACTCGCTTGGTA